CTGGTGAAAACCTGACCTTATGTCTACAACTCATGTCTAACAGTCCCAGTTCTGTGAGAACCTGACCTTAACTCTCCATCTTGTCCCCAAAAGACCCAGTTCGGAGAGAACATGACCTTATGTTTCCAACCCATCTCTAAAAGTCCCAGTCCAGTGAGACCCTGACCTTACCAATTTGTCCCTAAAAGCCTGAGTTTGGTGAGAACCTCACCTTATGTCTAACTCATGTTTAACAATCCCAGTCCAGTGAGAACCTGACTTATGTCTCCATCCCATCCCTAACAATCCCAGTCTGGTGAGAACCTGATCTTAAATCTCCAACTTGTTCCCAAGAGTCCCAGTTCTGAGAGAACATGATCTTACTAATTTGTCCCTAACAGTCCCAGTTTGGTAAGAACCTGACCTTATGTCTCCAACCCATTCCTAACAGTTCCAGTCCAGTGAGAACCTGCTCTTATGCTTCCACCTCATCCCCGACATTCCCAGTCCTGTGAGAACATGACCCTAAGTCTCCAAATCATCCCTAACTGTCCCAGTCCAGTGAGAACCTGATCTTTCATTCAACCTTTATTTCTACAGGTTAGTCTCATTGAGCCTCGAGGACTCAGTACAAGACCTGATCTAAACAAAGAACACAGATGAGGTACAGGCAACAATAGACAATCATAAAAAATGGAAAGTAAACAGAAGAAATGATATAAAAACTAAACACAAACAGCTACATTATAAAGCACTGTAAAATCCTAAAACCAGGAACATGTTTGCATTTATATTTTGCCATGGATTTAACAGTTGTTTAAAATCTCTTAGAGGTCAAAGTCGACAACTTCAGATCTTTTTGCAAGGAATTCCAGGTTAAAAAGGTAAAGTGAAATGTGATGTGTTGTCATCATTGTATGTTCTCATACAACGGTGAAATTAGTTCTCTGCATTTAACCCATCGCACCTGGGATGCACCCAGATGGAGCAGTGGGCAGCTATGTAGGCACCCGTGGAGCAATTAGGGATTAGGTGTCTTGCATAGAGACACCACAACATGTGGGTATGGCTGGGGATCAAATTTGGGACTTTCGAGTCCCAGGTCGGCTGCCCTATCTCTACCCCATCTGGGCCCCTAATCACCAGCACCCTAACTCTTATTGGAGTGGGGTAAGAGAAGACCCTTTTGTCAAATTCAGTCTGCACTGAGTCGCATCTTATGTCTCCAACTTGTCCCTAACAATCCCAGTTTGGTGAGAACCTGACCCTAACGTCTACAACTTGTCCTCAACAGTCCCAGTCTGAAGACCTGCCCTTATGTCTCCAACCTGTCCGCAGCAGTCCCAGTCGGAAGACCTGCCCTTATGTCTCCAACCTGAAATGTCTTCAGTCAAGAAGAATTTTCTGCTCAGCTGAAACCTTGAAAACTGACTTTTCTTTATAAACAAAAAACCTCTCCATAATTTCAAGGAGGTTTGAAGAGACCCAGGACTGAAAAATGAGACAGAGACATGCTCAGTTCAGCATCAGCGTCTTTATTTTTCATCAATGTTGTTGCATAGGAAATGCTTCTAGTACATCAAGTCTGAGTGGACATGGTGTCACTAATGAGGCTGAAAGGGAAGACCAACAGAACCAAGAGTCTGAACCACAAAGAGGATGACCGAGACCTCGGTCTGAACTCAGGATGGACTAGGATGGCACCGAACACCACTAATGAAACACTGAACATCTGCAGGTCGGAGACAAAACACCGCCCGCTTCCAGAAAAGAGTTGTTGAGGCACACGGTTTCAGCCAGTTCTGGGTGAGGATGAGGGTGGGGGTGAGGATGGGGGAGCTGGTGTCCATGGCGATCTGAGCGGAGCAGGGGATGATATGTGACTGCTCCGGGTCACCACCCCGTCCAGCGTACAGGCCTAGATAAAGCTCTCCTTCCTCAGGATTGTCGTGGGTTAGCCGCGGTCGGCGTCACCTCCAGGGCGCCGGGACAAAGGCAATGAGACACTTGTCCTACGGGCTGACCGGCGTGCCTGTGATCGGACCAGTACCGGATCAGAACACCAACAGACTGGAGGACAGGAGGGCAGTTAGAGAAAATCCCTGGTTTCAGTTTCAGCAGTGATGGAAATCTGGAAGGTAAGATTTCTGTTTTGTTCGATTTTACTGAAGTTTTGATTCACAAAGCAGAATCTAATTCAAGCCGATGTCCGTCTCTCTATCGTTTGTCCTGATCACAACATTTACAACTAAGTAGGTTCACATAAAAGTTCTAACTGGAAATTTCAAAATAAAGCTCTCAGATACTCTTCAAAATAAGAGTCTGGCTTTAAAAGATTGAGGTTTAGGTGGTTGTCTTAACGCCAACATTTCTCCATTTTGAGTTTTAAATAATTGTGGAAGCAGATTCAGGACTTCTGAGACAGAACTTTGGGTTAGAAGTTCCTAAACTTCCTTCCCATGAGAGCGACTCGGACTTTTACTGCTTAAAGTTTACCAATAAACTAACCTCGTCTACATATAAATAATATTAATACATTATTCACTTATGAGGATTGTTTTTACCTTTCCATCGGGGGGAGGACTGGATATGATTTTAGATCATTTGAAGCCCCCCCCGGTGAGGTCCTGGTCCTGACTGGTCTGCAGGAGACAGGAAGGGTTTGGAGGGGCGGTCCTTTAAGAAAAACGTCGGCTCATCAACAAAGTTTGTTGCTGAAAAGACGGAGGAGTCGATTGAGGGGCTTTGGGTCGAAGGCAGAGGAGCCACTGGGGGGGGCGCTAGACGGGCTGATCGACCCCAGCTGGTCCATGGGGGGGGGGGGGGGGGATGTGTGGGGGTGTCCAGGTGTTGCTGCCCCATACTTTTAAACCCTCCTGATCCTGGAGGAGCTGCAGCTCCTTTGAAGGTGCAGCAGAGGTGGGTGGGGAATCTCCGTTAATGCTGAGCGCTGCAGAAAACGGCCATCGATTCCTGCAGGAAACTGACTGGGGGGTGGGGGTGGGGGGGCGGTTGTCAGCCTGTTGGTCAATGGATGAGGCAGTGTGTGTGTGTGTGTGTGTGTGTGTGTGTGTAGTGGTGGGGGGACCAGCTGGGTGTTTGCTGATGGTAAAAGTGATTTAAAGATTGTTGGGGGGGGGGGGGGGGAGTTCTGTGAGGGCACGGGGCAGTGGGTGGTGGTGAAGGTGACCATGAAGTGATGAAGATGAGGATGAAGGAGGAACAGGATGTGGTGGTTTAGTCTTTTTCCTACGGTTGCCTTGGTAACAGCTAACTAGAGGATTATGGGAGAGCATGCAGTTATACTTATGATTATTGTACATCAGATATAATCAGAGGAGCCTGACAGACAGAAGGCTTCTGGTGTTCAGAAAAGTCCACAGTTACAAACACTCAGGTACTCTGAGCTGCTTTGAGTTACACAGAGTAGTTACTCTGACTTACTAGGAGTAACTCTGAGCTATATAGAGTAGTAACTCAGAGTTACTATGAGTTACAAAGAATAGTAACTCTGAGTTAAAAAGAGTAGTAACTCAGATTTACTCAGAGTAGTAACTCCGAGTTACTCAGAGTAGTAACTCTGAGTTACTAGGAGTAACTTTGAGCTACATAGAGTAGTAACTCTGAGTTACTCTGAGTTACAAAGAATAGTAACTCTGAGTTACAAAGAATAGTAACTCTGAGTTACAAAGAGTAGTAACTCTGAGTTACAAAGAGTAGTAACTCTGAGTTACACAGAGTAGTTACTCTGACTTACTAGGAGTAACTCTGAGCTATATAGAGTAGTAACTCAGAGTTACTATGAGTTACAAAGAGTAGTAACTCAGAGTTACTACTCTGAGTAACTGAATTACTACTCTGAGTAACTCAGAGTTACTACTCTGAGTAACTGAGTTACTACACTGAGTAACTCTGAGCTACTACTCTTTGTAACTCAGAGTTACTACTCTTTGTAGCTCAAAGTTACTCCTAGTAACTCAGAGTTACTACTCTTTGTAACTCAGAGTTACTACTCTGAGTAACTCTGAGTTACAAAGAGTAGTAACTCTGAGTTACAGAGTAGTAACTCTGAGTTACAAAGAGTAGTAACTCAGTTACTCAGAGTAGTAACTCTGAGTTACAAAGAGTAGTAACTTTGAGTTACAAAGAGTAGTAACTCTGAGTTACAAAGAGTAGTAACTCAGAGTTACAAAGAGTAGTAACTCAGAGTTACAAAGAGTAGTAACTCTGAGTTACTCAGAGTAGTAACTCTGAGTTACTCAGAGTAGTAACTCAGAGTTAGGGTACAGGTTTCCCAGGCACTACATGTCAGCTGTTCACATCGTGTTTATGCTGGTCGGGTTGGCCGGGTTCTGATCCGATCGCTCAGGACTGAGACCTTCACAAACTGGACCAGACCAGGGTCTACACGTGGATTAGGGTGCACATTCAGGTGCACCGCAGTCCATCCTCACGTGCACGTGCAGTCAGTGCATAGATCTGACGCAGGTTAGGCTGCTGCAATTTGAGTGGCCGGCAGGAAGTTCAGGCTGTTCCAGAGGCCCCCCCACCCCCCACGGGCTTAGGACCATGTCTGTGTTTCCCAGCAGGATCCAGAACGTCTCCACACTGGTGGTACTGATCCATCTCAGAGCAGGTTCTGGTTCCTGCCTCATCAGCCAATCAGCTTCCTTCATTTCTCTGAGGAGAAGTTCTAGGTTCTGCTGCAGGAGTTGAGTCCACCAGTGAGGCTCGGTCCGGTTCTCCTCATCACATCACACCAACCGGAAGACCTGAAGACTCCCACAGAGACCCGGTGTCAGAAATCTGTCCTCCTCTGGGGGGAGGGGGGCCGGGGGGGGGGGTCAAACTTTAAGACGACAAAGACAGAAGCCTTCATCCAACCCTGTTTCCTGGTAGAGATCCACTTATGGCGGGGGGTCCAGCAAGGGTGTGGGGGTTGGGTCCAGGAGTGGGGGGGTCAGGTCCAGCAGGGGAGTTGGGTCCAGGAGTTGTGGTGGAGGTGTTGGAGGGGTCAGTGGTTAGAGGAAGCTCTGGATCAGAGTTCTGGTGTCAGCACCGGTCGTCATGTGGTTCTCAGCTTGGACTCTGGTTCTGGTGTGACCGGAGCTGCTGCTGGTCTCCCAGAACTGGGCCGCCAGCCGGTTCTGAACTGTGGGCTGAAAGCGGATCTCTTTCAGGTGAACGATTCTCAAACGGATCAGAACTTGTTCACCAAACTGAAGCGGAGACGATTTACTGACGGAACCTGACGGGCTCACAGTGGACCTCGCCCTTCATCGTGGAGGAGGAGGAGGAGGAGGAAGAGGAGGAAGAGGAGGAGGAGGAAGAAGCACAATGAGCTGATGGTTTGGCTGCATGAGATGTGAACAGAAGAAAAGAAGCTGACATGAGTTTCTACTCGCCGCCTGACGGAAACTGAAACAAATAAAAATCAACGTTTGTTTTCTTCCTCGGAGCCATGCGTGTAGCTTCATCATCATCATCATCACATTTACAGACGAGTGATCCACACGGTGCCCTGACCTCTGCCTTCATCATCAGCTTCATCAACAGGAAGTATGTCCTGGGTTAATAAAAATGGCTGCCTTAGAATGATTACCCCCCCCAGCTGTTGCCTTTGGACTTCATTCTGTTGGTTCTGATGATCTGGACCTCGGCTCTATATAAAATGTTCTCTCCTTCACGGCTCGACGCTGTTCGTTCGTTTTAACGCTCAACTCGCAGCTGAAGTCTAGAACCGAGACAGAACAGGGAAAACGGAACCAGAACCACGGCAGTCCAAGTTGGACCCGTTTAAGGCTCAGGAAATAAGCGAGGTGTTTGTGGTTGGTCATCGGAACAAGCAGGAAGTAAAGAACCCTGAACATTTCTGCAGGGCTTGTGGTTCCTCAGAACCGATGGAGAACATCATGTTCTCCGTCAGTCAAGAAGAAGTCCAAGGACAAGCACGTCTTTCATATTTTATGTTCTGGATTTAAACAGAACACAGAACAGGAACGACTGCAGGTTCTCCCAGTGGGTTCTGCGTCTGCAGGGTTTGAAGGAACCCTCACTTTCTGCTGCGGTTTGAGGAGAACCACCTCCTTTAACTTTAGGAGCCTCAGCCTGAAGTAAAAATATCAAATTCAAAAAAGACCTTTTTAAAATTTTAACCCTTTAAAAAAACTGCACAATTCAGTCATTTTACAAATTCACAAAATATTTATTTTATGGCAATTTTAGGAAAAAAACAAACAAAACATTTTTAGTATTACACCCCAAAATATTTTTTGACAAATTCAAAAAATTCCAGTCTGAAGTTTTGTGAGGACCCTCCAGCCCACCGGACCCGCAGGCCCGGTAGCTGAAAACCTGTTTTCAGTCGAGTCTCGCTCTTTGGACGGAGATTTATTCTGATCATTTCTTGTATTATTTTTATTTATATATATATTTAACTCCATCTGTGGTAGAATTGCTAGTTTCTATACGAGCGAGCTGCAGGAGCACGACCCGCTAACGACGTCCTGCTTTGGGACAAACCTCGGGCAGTCGGCCCCGTGGAGTCTGCTGCTGCAGCCTGCATGCATGTGCAGCAGCTTCTAGATGTTCACTTGTTCACATTACAAGTGGCTTTTTGTTCTTTGCATCCAAACCAAAACGATTCTGTTGGACTAGACGCGAGGCGGGACTCCACAGCGACGTCTGGCTGGGGAAGACGTTCCTCTGCTGGGGGGGTCTCTCAGACCATTTCCCCCTCAGGAACATGAGAGTGAAATTACTGTGAGGTTATGAGTGCATCTGAAGAAATTCTGACAAAAGAACAAAAAGTTTCAGTTTTTTACCGACTGGCCCAAGGGACAACTGAAGGTTCTCTTCTGGACCAAAGCCACAGGTTGGTTTGAGGTTTTTGTCCTCGTTAGGCTCCGACTTCCTGTTTATGTCGCCTGTCAGGATTGTCGCTCACAGTGGCACCTACTGAGCTTTAATCAGCGGACTCACCGCTGGAGGGACACGTGAGCTGTTCTCCAGTCTCTGCTCGTTTCACTAAATGTTTTTGTCTTTTCACAACAGGACAGTGGTCCTGGTTTCAGCTCGGAGACCTGTTTGGACCATGGACCCGGTGTTCTCATTAGCCTGAGACACTGAAACTGTGAAATACTAGCATGTTCCGGGTTTTGTTGCTCCAGTCAACCTATCAAAGCTCAGATACGGAGATAAAAACCCAGTTCCAGATTCAGGGGTTAGCTAGAACCTGTGCAGGCTCTCAGGACCAGACAATAACTCAAGGCACGTCGACGAGGAACAAGTGATTTCGTGCAACTTGCTAGAAGATGAAGAATGTCTGAGACCATAACAGAAGGATGGAGATGTTGGGAATGGAAGACGGTTGATGGGTTGAGAACAACGGCCAACAGAAAAACTCAAACTAATCCACAGCTGCTGCTGAGCGCCTGAAGTGCGTTTTTTTTTACAATACTGTGTTTTTATTTCACTAACTACATCTATGAAAAAACGGTCACTAACACTAAAACATGCAGAATATTCTTTGATGTTTTTGATTGAATTTACTTTTCTTTGACGCTGATGGTGGAGTGTGTGTTTGAATGTTTATATTTAAGTACATATTTATAGAACAAGAAAAAAAACTTAACTAAAGTTGAAAAAAACGTGAAAACTTCCCTTTTCTCCGCCTCTTCATCAACAAACCCCACCCCCTGATTACACACTCATAGCCCATTGGCCAGCTCCAGGAACAAGTGCTTGTGATTGGACGGGGGCCTCTAGGAGACGCAGCCAATCACAGGGCGGCCCGTTACCGGGCAGATTATCCTGCCAAATTATTTCAAGCTTAAATTCACAAGTTTTCGCCTGATTTTACTCGTCAGACGCAGAACGAAGTGCTCAGTAAAATAAGTTAACCGCTTAGCGTTTTTTTCCTTATAAAAACTAAAAAATAAACAAGAAACGTTTAAAAACTGATTAAGTGATTTCTTTAAAGGGATTTTCATATCGAACTAACACATTCACACGATGAACGAACAAATAAGAAACATTAAAAGAGAAAACAGCATAAAGCCGTGGCTTCGGGTTTTTGTACCTCCGTATTTTAGAGTCCCGGAGGTCTGAGCGGACTCGGAAGAAAAATATAAATTCAGATTCAACAACCCGGATATCTTACGTCATCAACAGCTAGCCTACTAAATTGCACTTTCCTCATGGTTTCACTGGTAAAGTTTTGAGAAGCATTTCTCTCCTGACCGTCTCAATCGTTCAGGTGTCTGCCGCCCTCCACCTTCATGCACTGCACCAAGACCAGTGGATGGAGGGGTGAGGAAGAGGAGGGGCCGGCTGAAATGGTGGCTAAAACAGAAGAAATTAATGAGCCATGAAGCTAAAGCCTCCACAAAACAAGCCGGGATCTACCAGTCTGGTGCAACACCCGCGTCGCTCCAGACCCCCACCCCCAACCCAAAACTGGGTTCCTTCCATTAAGCATTGGTCCGTATGCTCAGAGCAAGTTGTGTTGGCTCCTCCCTCCCTGACCTCACAACAACCTGGAGGCGGAGCCAAGATGGGCGGAGTTTATCCTAGTCGATGCAGAGTCAAAAAAGAGGTGCAGTCCATCCCAGGAGGTGTGTTCAGGCTCAGGTGTTTTAGCTGGTGGTTTCTGAACCGGGCCAAGCCGGTGTGTCCCGTCCAGGTCCAGTCCGCAGGGATCCACTGCGACAGAACCAGGGATGGGGCGGTGGGCCCAGGGGGTGGGTCTTTTAATCAGTGCAAGTCCACATTGCAGAGGATGATGGGAGAGTGCATCTGCAGTTTCTCCAGAGTTTATTCTTTCCAAAAACTGATGGCTCAGTTCGGCCCCCCCTCAGAATTGTCTGCCCATTCTGAGTTTGGGGTTGCAGGTGGTGGGGGCTCAGTGTCTGGCACCATGGATCCATATTACCCATACAGGAAGTCAAGGACATACAGTTCACTGAGGGGGTGTTAAACACCGGGTGCATTTGATCCGCTCTAGCCATGCTGATGCTGCTGAGTCAGGAGTCGTGAGGGAGGGGGTCCAGGGATCAGACTTTTCTGTCACAGCGGGTGTCAGAGGTCAAAGGTCAAAGAGGAGACTGCAGCAGGCTGTTGTACAGGTGGGTAGCGACACCTCAGGAGTCCCTATCCCAGGTACCACTGTGGAGACAAACAGGGGGGGGGCAGTTAACATCAGGACACCTCAGGATCAGAACCACAACATCAGAACCGACAAACAGGAGGTCTGGACCTGCAGGACCAAAACTCAGACTTCACCATCCACTAAACTTCTCTCCAGAACCCAGAACCAGTGAGACCTGAACAGAACCTGGAGGTCCTGGACGGCTTTAGTCCTTTTCTCATCGATCACTTTCAACAGTTTGTCCCTCGTCTTCCTCACTGCTCTACAAAGTTTTATTTCATCCTCGAGTTACAGCATGACTGGTTGCTATGACAACCAGATGCCTGGGGCGTGACCCCCCCCCACACACACACACAGTTAAAATGTGGGAACAATTTAGAGAAATGTTCTGAAGAGTTTAAGGTGGAAGTTTAAGTAAAAGAGACGAGAGTTACGAGTTCTGTCCTGTGTGTGTGTCTGTGTGTGTGTGTGTGTGTGTGTTTGTGTGTGTGTGTCTCTGTTTGTGTGTGTGTCTGTGTGTGTGTCTGTGTATCTGTGTGTGTGTGTCTGTGTGTGTGTGTGTTTGTGTGTGTGTGTGCGTGTGTGTGTCTGCGTGTGTGCGTGTGTGTGTCTGTGTGTGTGTGTGTGTCTGTGTCTGTGTGTGTCTGTGTGTGTGTCTGTGTATCTGTGTGTGTGTGTCTGTGTGTGCGTGTGTGAGTGCAGTGATAGAGGAGAAGACTGGAAGGTTAGTTTTTAATCAATACAACTCGCTGACGCAGGGACTTTTCTTCTCGCTCTGTGTTGGTGCCCCCACTCCCTGTGTGCTGCAGGACCCCCCCCCCCCCCCCCCCCCCCCCCCCCCCCCCCCCCCCC